GGCAGCCCACGGTGGCCGCGCCCGCCGAGGCGGAGGACGAGAGCCGGCAGAAGGCGCGGCCGCGGACCAAGATCTCCGTGGAGGCCCTGGGCATCCTGCAGAGCTTCATCCAGGACGTGGGCCTGTACCCGGACGAGGAGGCCATCCAGACTCTGTCCGCCCAGCTGGACCTCCCCAAGTACACCATCATCAAGTTCTTTCAGAACCAGCGGTACTATCTCAAGCATCACGGCAAGCTGAAGGACAACTCCGGCCTGGAGGTGGACGTGGCCGAGTACAAGGAGGAGGAGTTGCTGAAGGACTTGGAGGAGAGTGCCCAAGACAAAAATGCTAACACCCTTTTCTCGGTGAAACTAGAAGACGAGCTGTCGGTGGAAGGGAACACAGACCTGAACGCCGACGTCAAGGACTGAGATGCACGCCTACTCCTCCTCCATCAGTGCCACTGGTAACGGACTCGCGCAGCGGGAAGTCCACCTTGTGCTTGCTCGGAAAACCTTGGTTGTCCATTGTTTGGCCAATGAATCTTGAGAAACTTGCACAAACAGGAGAAGTCGACAAAGGGATGATACAGACTGCACTAAACGTTTTACTCTGTTTTACAAACTGCTTGGCAGCCCCAGGTGAAGCATCGAGGATTGTTTGGTACTAAAAATGGAAATTTTTGTGTTCACGGGACACACCCAGGTGTGGACCCCGTCAGCATGATACCAGTGATATATTTTTTTTTAATTATTACTATTCTGGAGCCTCAAACAAGCATTATAACTTCTGTGATTATTATTTCCTTCCTTTAATTATTTCTGTAACACTTCACACTGATCTTTGGAAACTCGCCCCTTGTTTTAAAAAAAAGAAAAAAAGGAGTTTGTTACTCTATTGTATGTTACAAAAGAACTATAGACTGTGGAATGCAGTTTAAAGATGACATATGCCAACAAATGCCTTGTATTATATGGCACTGCCGTAATTCAAATTTGTTTTTATTTTGGAAATAAAAGTTCACTGTAATTTTTTTTTCATTCTCATTGTTACATGGTTTTTTAAAAAAAAATGGAAAGAAAATGTGAAACACAGTTTAGTCCTCATTATTTATTTGTAGATCCTGCAACATCATATTGTAATTAATTTTTTGGAAGTTTCCGTTAAATGTAATATTGCTTCTCTTGTTACCATACTGATTCTTTTCTATTTATAAATGTATTTTGATGGGCAGTAAAACAAAGTGTCTTAAAAGTTTTAAATAGATAAAATGTGCTTTACACAGTTGCCTATAAAAAGTGCTCTATGTTATCCAAGCAATTCATACTATAAGCTTCACTCTTATTGTTGTATGCAATTTTTACTATCATGCAAATAAGCTTAGATAAATAAAACTAATAGATCACCTTAGAAAATTATGCAATTAATGTGAAAATAATTGATGTTTGCAATGTGTCTTCCTTTGGTTTACAATCAATTTTAAAGCTACATCTGTATAAAATTTCTGTATAAAGGTGTATTTCTTTTTTATGAGTTTATGGCTATGAAAACACCAGCTATTTTGTTACAGCTGGCTGTTTTTATAAGTGTATCACAATTTTCTTTATGCAGAAATGTTCTGATTAGGAGTGGTTATTGACTGTAACTACACAATTAAAATTGTTTGTATGGTATGACATGGTAGGGTTTGTCTGCTTATGTGAAGTAACTTTCAGAAGTCCAAGATGGCCCACTCAGTTAGATGCATGGTAATACTTTCTTGATGATATTTTACTGATTTTAAAAAGAGCAATTGAAAAGTCACTTGAAACACTGTAAATTTAACTCACAAACATGCTCTTTTTTTTTTTTTTAACAATGAGGACGATAACCTGTTTTTGGTTACTATCTTAATAAACAGAGATAGCAGAATGGTCAAATGATTCGCCAGCAAAGACATCAATTCAGTCTCCAGCAGACGCATGCTTAGAATGGATTCATCTGCAGTGACTTCACAATGCTTCCATCATGGCAACATTTTTTCAAGCTAACAGAAATATTTTTAAAGGCTATTAATAGTAAAAATAAGTAGGGGAAAAAATGGACTGTGTGTAAAAAGTAAGCAGTGTAATTTTTTTAAGTTGTAAATGGAATATAAGTTAATAACTTGGAGCTCATTTGGTTGTGTTATGTCATAACTATATGAACTCCATGAAGGAAATAAGAATAACACACCTGGAATTCAAACAGGATCTGCAAAATTTTTGCAACGTAAAATTAAGTAAACTCCAGGATACAAGATGAGGTGGGCTAACGGTCCTGGAAAGGATTGAGACCAGTGTTGCAGTTTTTGCTTATTATTATTAGGTTTATACCCACTTTTTATTTTTCGCTGCTGCTTTTTATGATTTCCTCCTTGTTACAGGGTGTCTGAGTTCCTCAGCACTTAGTTCTGAAATCACCCATTTTCTTCCTGCCTGTCTTTTCCCTAGCCCTGCTGAGCTCATTGGCAGGCAACTGGGCTGCTTTAATGTTGAACTTCAGAAACAAAAATAGGGTCACTGAAAACTCCCAATTTGGCTTTAAAAGTCACTATTTTACTTTCAAAGCACAGCTGAACTACTCTGAAGACAGCTGTTTGGCTGTAAACTTGATACAGGAAAAGTTTTCCTTTTTTTTTTTAATTAGATGAGAAAGCAACTTTTAAACATTCTTGTATATGACTAGAGTTCAGAAAATCATTTCAGCAAAAGGAATTTGAGTCAAAAACTAGATTTTAATATATTAATAAATAGAAACTAGTATGCCATGATTTTTTTTTTTAATCTGTCTTCTTTTCTCTGAGTTTAAGGGGAAAGGCTAGAACAGAAAATATAGTTTTTTGTTGTTTTAAACCAGCACAATGCCTAACATAATGTGTCAGAAATTTAATACCCTTTTTAGGAGAATTTGAGTTGCCAATAAGATTCCCCACTCCCAGGAACCTAACTTCTTTGGAGATAACGTTTTCAATGAATTGTTGAGTATGTATGTGTAAGAAATCAGCATGATGATACTAAGAAAAATAAAACGCTCACTTAGACCCTTTAACGTAAGCAGCATAATCTTGTTAATATGATATTTTAAACCAAAAAGCACATGTCAGTAAACAACTATGGTCATGATGGAGTGAGCAAAA